ACCAGCCGGTCAAGTGGCACTTCTTACAATGTGCCAGGCACTGTCTGTGCCAGGCACTGCAGATACAAAGAAGGGCAAAAACCAGTCCCTGTTCCCAGGAAGCTCTCAAGCTTAACAGAGGAGACCAGATGCAAACAAGACACACACAGGATAAAATGGGGGTAATCCCACAGAGAAAGCACTAGAATTAAGGAGGACCAGGAAAGGTTTCTGGCAGAAGATGCAACTTGAGCTGAGCTGTGTAGGAAGCCAGGGAAGCCTGGAGATTGAGATGAGGAGGGAGAGGGGGCCAGGCATAGGGCATGACCAGTTTGGTTTCAGAATTTGAAGTATCTTCTGCAAAGTATAGCAAGGAGGAGACTGCTGCCACTGGGGCACACAGAGACTGCAATAGTAGGTGAAGGTCCAGTTCTAAAGGACTTTAAATGCCAAACGGAATTTTATATTTGACCCTGGCAGAAATAGGGTTCCACTGGAATTTACTGAAAGGGGTTGGGGGGAAGGGGAGTTACATGGTCAAACCTGTACTTTCGGAAGATCAGCCTGACAGCTGAGTGGAGGATGGACTGAAGTGGGAAGGGGGAGGGGAGGGAGAGAGGGAGAACAAGCAGAAACCTACCACAGTAGTCCAGGAATGAGATGACAAAGGCCTGTCCCAGGGTGGGTGCAGTGTCAGAGTTGAGAGCAGGGGTTTAGAAATAAAATGATGTGAATGTGGATAACTAATTGGCTGTGGGGGGTGAGAGAGAGTGAGGAGGATGACATCTAGGTTATAAGACTGGAGGCCTGGGAGCAAAGTGGTTCCCTTAACAATAATAGGAGAGATAGGAAGAGGGGAGGTTTCGGGGGAGGGGTGGAAGAAAATCTGTTCAGATTTGGACGTCTATAGGACATTCGGTTTGAGGTGTCTGATACAGTTGGAGATGTGAGGCTGGAGGTTGGGGCTGGACAATTAGACCTGAGAATCATCTACATAGAGATGACCATTGAAAACACGTGAGCTGAAAAGTTCATCAACTGAAATAATATAGATGGTTACCTCACACCCTGAAAACTAGCAAAGATGACCAAAAATGGCAATAGTGTTGGAGGGGATGTGGAATGCTAGGCACACTAACACCTTGTTGGTAGAGCTGTGAACTGGCACCACCACTTTGGAAGGCAATTTGGTATTATGGAAATAAAGTGATTAAAATGTCTATAATGTTTGAACCAGAAACCCAATACTGGGATTGCACCCCAAGGAAGTTGTATATAAGGAGAAAGTCCTTGTAGACACCAACATCTTTATAGCAACACTTTTGGTGATAACAAAGAATTGGAAATAAAGTAGACACCCATAGAATGGGGAATGGCCAAACAAACTGGTGCATGAATGAAATGGAACACTACTGGGCTATAAGAAATGATAAATCTGATGAATACAGAGAAGCATGGAAAGATCTACATGAACTGATGCGGAGTGAAATAAGCGGAGCCAACAAAACAAAATACACAATGATGACAATGGAAAGGGAAAAAACAACCACACACCAAAAATCAAAACGGAATGTCAGAAAATCATCAAAATCAAGCAGAACTCAAATGGAGAGATAGAAGCAGAAACCCCCAACCCACCCCTCCACGGAGACAAGAGGCCCCCTGGTGTCACACGTTACACTTGTTTTAGGCAATGTATCTGTCAGCTGTGCTCATTTTTTTTCTCTTTAAAAAAATACTATTTGTTATATGGGACAGCTCTCTGGGAGGGGAAGGGATGCAGGGGATAACCATGATGATATAAGAAAGAAGAGACATCAACAAAAATGTATTAAAAATAAAGAAACAGAAGAGGGAGGAAAGAAAAGGGCCCAGAACAGGCTCTTGGGGGACACTCCCACAGTTATCAGCATGACCTGAATGAAGATCCAGCAACGGAGGCAGAGGAGGAGTGGTCAGAGAGGTAGGAGGAGAACCAGGAGAACCTAGAGAGAAGAAAGTAGCAAGAAGAGGGTGATCAACAGCATCCAATTTCCCCGGACTGGCAGAAGTCATTTAATTAACTCTGCTTTTCAGTGCCCTTGGGCATCACTGCCTTCCTCTCCTGGCCCTGACCTAGCCCAGTCATTACAACTCTCTGGATCTCTCATCTATAAAATGAGGGGATGGACTAGTGGGCCTCCAGTGGGCCTTACACCTCTGGGGGTAGAGTCACAGAATCAGTATAAGTCGTTGATCTCTTGGAGGAGAAGGGGACCTGGCTCCTGGGCTAGGGCTCTCTCTCTGGGATTCCCTAGCTCCCTCAAATGCTCCCCCTCAAGCAACACTTCCTACAGGAGGCCTTCCCCCTCCCTTTTTAGAGTTCCTAACTTCCCTCTAAACTTACTTTGTATTTTACTTACCTGAAGAAAATTTGTTTCACCAAAATTGAATATAAGCTCCATGAGGGCAGGCACTCTTTCATTCATTCATTCATTCATTCATTCATTCATTCATTCATTCATTTAGTCTCTGAATCTCCAAAGCCTAGCAAAGTGTCTGGTGCATAGAAGGCCCTATATAAATGTTTGTTGAATTGAATTAAAGAGCAAGGAAGGGCAAAGGACCCACAACTCAGGCTAGGCCTTGTAGGGCTCTCCCTCACCCATACAATAGCCTAAGGAAGCCTCTGTGACTGTTCTGGGGCCCTCACCTTGAAAGCTCCAGTATTTCTAATGAAGGAAACAATGGGCAGCAGCTGCCAGGAGCTGTCCAGAGCTGAAGCTCTTGCAGAGCTGGTGGGTAGCCTAATACGGTGAGAAGCAGTCCCCCTCCCCCATCTTGAACCCTTGATGAACCAATTAAACTTGACACTATCCTCCACTCTTCAATCTCTTGCTCCCCTTGGCCTATCCCCAATCAGACCTTGAAAAAACCCAATCCTGATTTACTCCTCCCCTACCCCCACATGCTACTGAATGAAGCTGGGGAAAATCTCAAAACCATGCTGCCTGATTCTACTATAAATAGATGGTATCCAATCCCAACTGGGCCATCATTACCACATAGCCATCTTTCCACTCCTACCTAGTAGACTCCCTGTCCTCCTCACCACAGCAACAATTCCTAGCCCTTTCTTCTCTCCTCAGGCCCTCACACCACTGCCCCCATCCTCTCTGCTGATGACTTTGCCTCATTTGGTTTTTTTTTTTTACTAGTACCACTCAGAGATAGGACAGCTCCAGGGCTAGGATTTTCATCTTGCAGGAGGAGGAGTGCATCACAGGAGCATCCACTGAGAGCTGGAAGGGACTTGAGAGGTTGTGGGGGGCTGACTCCTGGTTTTACAAATGAGGCAACTAAAGCCTAGTGAGGCTAAGTGACTTTCCAAGGTCCCCCAGGCAGTGAGTGGGAGGGCCAGGCTATGAACCTAGGCCCTTGACCCCAACTGTACCACACTGCTACACACACTGCCATCCTGCGACCATGAAAGACTGGAGAGCCATGGAGACATCCCTTTGTCCTTGCCTTGCGTGTGAAACCAACGAGAGGACCATGCTATGGGGCTAAGAGATCCATGAGAGAGGTGGGTATGGAAGTCATCCTGAGCCCCAGCACCTTTCACAGCAAAGAGCTGGGGATCAAGACAGAGGTCTCACTCTTTCTCCCCTCCTTTGACTAAGACTTTCCTCTGAGCTGTACCATTGCAGATGGAGATAACTGTCTCCCTACACTGGGGAATCTCATGCAAACATCTTCCAGGTTTCCTGGGTAGGGCTGAGTCAAGAGAAAGGATAAATCTTACAAAGTATCCTTTCACAAATTAGAATTATGCAAATAAAGTGACTACAATGTCCATACCCTTGGAACCAGAGATTCTCCTTTTAGATATATACTCCAAGGAGGTCAAAAGTAAAATGAAAGGGCCCATGTTCTCCAAATTAGGTTTCACAGCTCTTGTTCTAGTAGCTAAGAACTGGGGGAGGAAGCAAATGCCTATCGACTGGCAGACGGCTAAACAGATATAGTCGTATGAATGTGACGAAATGATATTGTGATGTAAGAAATAACCAGCATGGTGACTACAGAGAAGCTTCGCAAGATCTAGATGAACTGATGCAGAGGGAAGTGAAGCCAAGAAAAACAACGTACATGATTATTACAAGAAGGCAAACAGACAGAACTACAACGAAATCAAGAGCAAGAGTTGTAAAACTACAAAGAACATGGCCCTAGACAAGGGATATGAGAAGCCACCTCCCTCTCACTCCTATACAAAAGAAAATCCTTTGTTTAGCCATTCAGGCTCTTCACAACCTGGCCGCTTCCAACCTTTCCAAATCTCCTTCCATTCTCTACAATCCAGTTACACTGCTCTACCTGCTTTTTCTCACACATGACACTCCATCTCCTATCTCCAGGCTTTTTGTTCCTCATGCCTGGAATGCTCTCCTTTTCAAACTCTGCTTCTTAGAATTTTTGCTTCCTTTAATACTCATTTCAAGTACCACCTCTTCCAGGAAGCTCTTCCTGATCTTCCCATCTGGTACTAGCATCCCATCAGATAATTTTCCATCTACTTCCACCCGTGTTTATCCTATTATCTTCTGACTGATTTATATATATATATATATATATATATATATATATATATATATATATATATATATATATATATATGTTGTCTCCCCATTGAATGTAAGCTCCTTGAAGACAGGCACTAGTTTTACTTTTTCTTTGTATCCCCAGCATTTAGTACAGTGCTTGCCACATAGTAAGTGCTTTTTTAAAAATGTCTTTAAAATGCTTGTTGATTGACCAAATCTTAGGCATGCTCTTCCCACTGCTGGGGATCAGTTTCTCCATCTGAAAAAATGAGGAGGGTTGAACAAGATGGCCTGTACAGTCTATTCCAAAGCCTATACTCCTAAGCTAAGCCCCTGTTGAGTGATCTGAGCCACAGGGTCTCAGGGTCACCTCTGGGGGCCTCACAGTTTTCCCCTCTAGCACTTGCTTCGGATGGCCTGTGTGCCTCTTCTTACCTGGGAGAGCTCACCCCTCGGGTCCTGGGAGCCTTCCAGCTAGCATTGCTTCTTTCTTGCCTGTGTGACCCTGAGTCAAGTGTCTCCCCTCAGCGGGCAGCCATTCTCCCCATTCTGCGCTAGTCTCTTTTTTCCTCTTCATAGAAAAAAGCACTCGGCTGAGACCGTGGTTCCAGCTCCTGCCATTATTTGTTCTATAAGCTTCGGAGAGTCACTCGTGGCCAGTTTCTTCATCTGTCAAATGAGTAGAATGAAGTACTTTAATTTTAAAAAAAAAGGATTCAACACCTCTTACAGGCTATGTCCTGTGCTGGGCGCTAAAAATACAAAGACCAAAATGAAACTGCTGGACCTCGAGGAGCGTGTGTTCTGTCATTCTGTGTTTCTGCCATTTCACGGCATCCAAAAGCCAATTATCAGCTGAACCACTGGGGCTCAGTTGGAAGAACTGGAACGTGAGCCTCCCTTTTCCATGATCCTAAGGCATGTGCTAAGCCCTCTCTTCTGCCCTCCTCCCTCATCAAATCCCCACAGGTGGATGCCTGAGGCAAGGCCCCAACGTTCCAGGAGATGGTGTTACATCTGAGGGCCTATGATGAGAAAGAGAATGGCTTTAGGGACTAATAAATGAGCTCTGCGCAGTTATAATGAGTAAGTCAATGGAAGAATGAGCCTGGAACTTTTAGTGATATGAAAAGTCAGGATGAGGAATGTCCTGACAAGCAGAGTCTACAGAGTCCAAAATACATGATGTACTTGGCTTCTATGCTTGTTTTCCAAAGAATATTGGTCTTTGAAGTCTTTCATCTTTTGAGGGAACCCTGACTGAGAAACTTGTGGGTATCATTTAGCTTTTTTGCATTTTCTCTTTCCAATCCGGGGCTTTCCTGTGCTGGGCACCATTCTAACCTAGGACTGCTAGGAAATCGGAGCTAAAAGGGTCGGTAGATATCACTTAGCCTAACATAAATAAAATGAGGCCCAGGAGAGAGAAGGTGCCAGGCCACAGTATTAGGAAGTCAAAAGGGCACTCGGCTGGGAGTTAGGAGACCTGTTTTCATATATCATTTCTGCAGCTTCCCAGGTGAGTAATCACAGGACAAGGCCTCGGTATCCTCCTCCATCAAATGAACGAATGGCACTGGATGAGGTCACATGGGCCTGCCAGCTCTGCCCTTCTGTGTGCCCTGAGGGGACACTGGGGGCATAGCTGGCACTAAGACTTCTACCTCTAACTTAATAAGACTATGATAACTGAGAGGCAGGGACAGAGGCATGGGGAGAAGGAAGAAAAGAAAGAGAAAAGGAGGGAATAAAGGACAGAGGGAGGGAGAAGGGGGGGGAAGAGAGAGAGAGAGTGAGAAAATGAGAGAGAGAGAGTCAGAGAGTGAGAGTGAGAGGGCCTGGCTGTGTGTGTTGTGTGTTCCTGGATGGGGCAACAGAAAGCCTTCCAGAATGTAGCAGGGAGAACTGCAGTGTGCAAAAAAAAAAAAAAAAAGGCCCAGCAGGTGGCAGCAGAGTGCCAAACAGCATGGGCGTACACACAAACACACCTTATGGCATGAGGAGCAGGGGAAGGTTTCCAGGCCACATGCAAAGACAAGCACGTGGGGCACCCCAGCCCTGCCTCCCCTGTATTCTCTGGTCCCCAGCACACAGCAGCAGCTGCACCAGGCAGGGCCAGCCCAAAAGTCTGGAAAGAAGGCTGTGTTTAGTCAAATCACAGCTCTGCCACTTACTACCTAGGTGACTTTGGGCCTCAGTTTCCTCATTTGTAAAATGAAGGAGTTGGATTTGATCAGGGTTCAGAACCTAGAGTCCATGAATCTGAAAGAGAGAGAGAGAGAGAGAGAGAGAGAGAGAGAGAGAGAGAGAGAGAGAGAGAGAGAGAGAAAGAGACACTATTCCAATGCCATCGGTGTCCTTTGTAATCTTATATATTTTACTGTGTGCATTGAAAATCAGGACCTCTGAGAAGGGGCCCAAGTGTCCTCAAACTACCTAAGGGGCCCGGCCCATAACACAAAACCCAACTGGTCTCTAAGGGCCCTTCCAATGCTCAATGCTATGACCCCAGGATAACTTCTCTGGGTCACGGGATGGAGGCAGGAGAGCTGCTAGGGCCTTGTCCTTCCCACTTGAGAAGGAGCCCCCTGACCAGTCAGTCTACTGGCATAGATTAAACACCTACTATGTGCCAGGGACCGTGCCAAGCTTCTCCTCAGGGTTGGCAGAGCTCATTTCACTCATGGGCTTTTCAGAAGCTAACTGGGGCTCTGTGCCCTTTCTCAGTCCCCAGGCCCTGTGTGGCCTTGGGCAGGTCCCTTCACCCGGGCATCACCTCATTCTTCTCCTGGCCCCATATTCTGCTAGCCTGTGTTACCCTGGACCAGTCACTACAACTCTCTGAGGCTCTCATCTATAAAATGAGGGGATTAGACCAGAGGGCCTCCAAGGTCCCTTACACCCCAAGGACTATTTTATCAGAATCAAGTTGGGCAGGTATAGACAGGCTCATAGACACATGGCCAACCATGATATGATGGCAATCTCAAAAGGTCAATACTGAGATTAAAGAGGCCCAGGAAAGGGAAGAGGCAAGGTGGGAATGGGGAAGGAAAGAGTTCCAGAGATGGGGGATGACCAGTTGGACAATAAGGAAGGGAAAGGAATAGGCATTTATATAGCAACTGCTATGTGCCAAGCACTGAGCTAAATGCTTTACAATATTACCTCATTTGATCCTCACAACTGCCCTGGGAAGTACAAGTTGCTATTATCCCCACTTTACAGTTGAAGAATCTGAGGCAAACAGAATTTAAGTGACTTGCCCAGGGCCACACGGCTAGTAAGTATCTGAGGTCAGATTTGAAGCCAGGTCCTCCTGACTCCAGGCCCAGTGCCCTATCCACTGGACTACCCAGCTGCCTCTTAATACAGTTCTGGATCAAAACATGAGGAGTCTTGTGTGAGAAACAGCAAGGAGGCTGGTGCCAGTGGATCTCTGAGTGGGTAGGAGGGAGTGAGACATAAAGAGACTGGACTGGTAAGAAAGGAGCAGGTTATGAAGGACTTTAAAAGCTGGAAGCTTTTCTATTTTCTCCTGGAGTTCTTTGGGATCCCGTGGAGTTTCCTGAGCAGGCCGGGGACAGAGTGAGCCAAGTGCAGGATAAGGTGCAGCAGAGCCACCAGCAGGCTAGCGCGACAGGCCAGGGAGGAGGTGATGAGGCCCGCACCGGGGGGTGCCTGTGTCCAAGGAGAGAGAGGGGAGTATGGGAGAAATGCTGCTGAGGTAGAAACAACAGGCCTTAGCAACAGATTGAATACAGGCAAATAAAAGAGACTGAGAAATTGAGGATGACCCTTCTGTGTAAGCCTGGGTGACTGGAATGCTGAGAAGAAGGGAGGGTTTGGGGCAGGGGTGGGGAACCTTCAGCTTCAAGGCCACGTGTGGCCTTTTGACTACAGAGGGCCACACTTAAGGGCCTAGAGGGCCACATATGGCCTTGCGGCCGCAGGTTCCCCACCCCTGGGGGGGGGGGCAGTGTGAAACTAATAAAGTGCAGTTTGGGACGTGTCAAAGTGAAGGTAAACTATAGGGCATCCACTCGGTTTGAGATGTCTAACAGGCAGCTGGAGACATGAGACCACAAGCACTGCCTCTGGGCAGAGGTCAGCGTTGGACAAATAAATCTGAGAATCAGCAGCATAAAGATGAGAGTTGAATCCATGGAAGGTGATGAGGGAGAAGACAAGAGAAGGTCCAAGACAGAGCTTTGAGGGATCCCTTGAGGGCCTGACCTGGATGAAGATCCAGCAATGGAGGCAGAGGAGGAGCAGTCACACAGGGAGGAGGAGAACCAGGAGAGAGCAGTATCCAAAAACCTAGAGAGAAGAAAATATCAAGAAGAGGGCGATTAATAGTATCAAAGGCTGCAGAGAGCTCTCCACATTGTTTCCAGCAAGGCCCCCTCCTATCTTTCCCAAACTTTGAAAAGTCTGAAGCTACCCTCAGAAATAAAAAACCAGATTCCCAGAACCTTCTCATCAGGATTGCCATTAGTAATTTAATTAAAGATGCTTTTTGGAAGCTAAACAGGGCTTTGAGCCATCTTAGTCCCTAGTCCCTGAGCATCACCACCTTCCTCTCCTGGTCCTAAACTGTGCTAGCCTGTGTTACCCTGGACCAGTCACAGCAATTCTCTGGGCCTCTCATCTATAAAATTCAGGGATTGGAGCAGAGAGCCTTAAAGGTCCCTTACACCTCTGAGTCTAGTTGGGTGGTAGAGATAGGTTCACAGAATCATGGTAAACCAACAGAAGTCACTGACCTCCTGGCTCCTGGCCTAGGGTTCTTCCTCTCTGATTCCCCAGTTCCTTCTAAAGCTTCCCTCAGGTACCAAGGCCTGATGGAGGCCCTCCCTCTCCCCTCTGAAGTGCTCTTCTCCTCTCCAGTTACTTGGTATTGACTTACCTGTGGCCCCCTGAATAAAAGCTCCCTGAGGTCAAGTACTCTCAGATGGGATCTCTGAATCCCCAAGGATTCCCTAGGGCCTTTGGCTTCTAAAGTCCCTTCCAGAGGTTTTGATGGGAAAATGTATACCAAGATAGGAAGATCCAACTTACAACACATTGGGGCAGGTAAGTGGCATTCAGTTTATGGTCGGAGATAGTTGGATTCAGTCAAAAGGTAGCACTTAGGGATCGAGAAGGCCCCACGTGGCCTCAAGGTCACAGGTTCCCCACCCCTGGTTTATACCATGTGAGCCCACATGCCAGTGGCTTTAACAAATCACAAGTCTTTGGGAAGTATGCCTGTCATCCCTTTACTAGGGTGCCCAGATCTCTCAGTCCTGCCTTGCTTGCCAATGCTTGCCCTCCACCTGGCTCCAATCAGATAGCCTAGAAGCCTCCTGTCCAAAACAAACTAATCACCCGCCTTCTACCAAACTTGCCTTTCTCAGTGAGTTGAGAGCACCCAGACAGCCAGGTTGGCCACCTTGGAGTCATTGTGGAATATGCCCTCCCCTTCCAGAGCAGGCTGCCTAGCCTCAGCCTTCGATACCCACATCTCTCTCACATCTCTCCCCTCACACAGACTCTGTCCTAGTTTTAGTCCCCAACACATCTTGTCTGAACTACCATAACAGCTTCACAATCGAGTCTGTCCTATATCTCCAATCCCTCTTCCCCCAAATCGAATGGAACAAAATCACATTCTGACCAAATCATTTTCCTGAGGCCCAGACCTGACTCTGCCACTGTCCTGCTCAAAATCCTTCAGTGGCTCCCCATAGTCTAGAGGATAAACTACAAACTCCTGACATGCAGGGCCTTCCACACTCTGGTTCTTTTCTTTTTTCTTTTTTTTTGGCTAGGCAATAGGGTTAAATGACTTGCCCAGGGTCACACAGCTAGTAAGTGTCAAGCACCTGAGGTCACATTTGAACTCTGGTCCTCCTGACTCCACTGCGCCACCTAGCTGCCCCCTGTTTTCAATGTCTATTTAATGAACTTTACTGGATGATCTCAAAGGGCTTTAAATGCTCTGGTTTCTCAGTAGCCAGTGTGTCAGAGCTGTTAGGCCAGCATTAGATGCTGGTTTTGGTGTTTGTCCTTCCTTCTCAAAGAGGACCATGACCTCAGGGAGGTGATGCCATGACATGCAGGTGAATTGGATTTAAGGGAGGCAGAGCCGTGCAAGGTCACCATCCTCGTTTTCTCCTCTGGAGTCATGTGGGTCCAGTGGCCACATATAGATTAGGAGGACTCGAGATGGCCCGGATGCAGTGGGAGGCCTTGGCCTTTTTAAACTAAGGTCTTTAACAGCTCTCAGTCTGACTGAGGTAATGCCCATTCAGTAATTACAACTAGGTAAGAAATGAGGCAGAGAATGGCCTCTTTATCTAATGAAAAAAAAAAATCAATCTGGGAGGAGAAGACCCTCAGAGTTTCTGGCCAAAACAGAAACAATTGCTATTGATACCAATTAAGGGGAGGGTTCCCTGAGCTCTGGTGCAGGCCCACCCCAGATAGGGAAGGGCTTAGAAAAGACAGGTGCTTCTGCCTTTTCTCTAGGGCAACATAGGACCCACAGACACAGAGACAGCCAAGGGGACTGGGAGGCTGGAAAGGCACTTTGCAAACTTTAAAGGGCTCTGTGAATGCCAGTTATGATCATTATGGTTATGAGCCTCCAGTCACCAGGCTTCTGGGCTGGTGATGACTTGGGTTCCAGAGTTTTCTATTGCATTAGTACTGAGCTCAGACAATGTCTATAGAGCAATACAGGGCATGCTCCTAAATGTTTAACAACTGGGCTCTCTGAAAAAAAATAATAATACGAATGCATGCACATTTTAAATCTGCATTATTACCACTTTCTGAAGTCTAGACAATGACAATCAACAAAACAATAAATCGAGGTCTGATTTGCAGCAATTGCTGATTTCTGAGGTGTGAAGACTCACCCAGAAAATTTACCAATTAGGCATGGAGCTGGCTGCAGCAGACACAGCCCAGGAGAGAATATGCATCTCGGCACCACTGAGGACTGTCCCTGGGGGAGGGTGATCAGCAGTGCCCACGTAGGCACACCTTAGCTCCCCCCCACACACACACTGTCTGTCTGTCTCTCTCCTGAGCTCTCTCTCTCTGCACTGATGGCCAGCTAGGTTTCCCTTAAATACCCTGGAGATCACAGCCCCAAGAGCAAGCCCCAGCAGAGAGGCAGCATGGTACTGAGAAAAAAGAAGGCTCGATTCGGAGTCAGAAGACCTGGATTCTCCTGCATGGTACCTGTGTGACCTGGAGAAAGTCACGTAGGCTTGTTTCCTCTAGAAAACGATGGCATTTGTGATGCCTTCGGCTGTCTATCTAGGATCTTGGTCCGAGCTGTGTGACTTAGAAAAATCACTTTCGCTTTCTGGGCTCACTTTCGCTTTCTGGGCTTCGATTTCTTCATCTACAAAAAGAGGGGTCTGGCCCAAATAACCTCAGAGATTGCCTCCCCATCCTTTTAATCTATGGTCTTCAGTTCTCACTGGGCCTTAGCTTGTTTCTTAGTAACTGGAGCATGAAGACAACCTCTGGGAAGCCTCCAGCCCTACTTTTTATTCCTTCCCTGCCTCTCCCCTCCCCGCCCCCAACCCCCACACATACCCACAAAAAGGTGGTAACTTTCAGTGAGCTTTGAAATGTCAGGGGAGGGGGAGATGCCTCAGGCCTACAGATAGGCAATGTTTTCCCAAGTTTGAAAAGGAGGAAGAGAGAGGAATCTTCAAACTGTCAGCCACTCAGCCTGGTGTTAAGCCCTAAAAGGATGGTTTGTGAGTGACGACTTTGAAAAGAGAGTCCCAGTCACACAGAGCTTTTCTTGACACTAGCCTGCTAGGGCCAGGGAAACAAGGAAGAGCGAGGTTAGCTAGACTACAGTCAGGTGTGGACAAAGTCAGGTTGGATGTCAGGCCAGTTGGGAGGTATCAGAAATGGGTGAAGATGATTGCACCCAAAGAGTAATGATTGATGGATCAATAGGAGATGGCTCTATGCTGACTTACATGAAAGCGGAGGTGACCTGCTCACTAAATTTCTTAGAGGCAAAAAACTGTTAGGGATACCTATCATGATGGAACTGGGGATCCAAAAAAATTTCAAGAGCCTAGAATGATTGGTCAAATTTAATAATAACATATATAATATAGTAAGAGGTGGTGCAGTGGATAGAGTCTTGGATCTAGGGTAAGGAGGACCTGAATTCAAATCCAGTCTCAGGTGCTTACTAGTTGTGTGATGCTGGGGGCAAATCACTTAACCTCTGTCTCAGTTTCCTCAACTTTAAAATGGGGGTAATAATAGCATATACTTCACAGAGTTGTTGTGAGGATCAAATAAGATGATATTTGTAAAAGCATTTAGCCCAGAGTCTGGCACAAAGTATGCCCTTAATTAATGCCTGTTCTCTTCCCCAAGCTTCCCCTAATAAGATGAAATTGAATAGGCATGAAGATAAAGTCCTGCACTTGAATTTTAAAAATCAACTGTGAAAATACAGGATGGGGAGCATCTATTAGGGCATAAAATCTCAACCAACAATGCAGAAACAGCAGAAATACTACATCCTTTACTGACCACAATGCAATAAAAAAATTACATTCAATAAAAGGCCTTTGAAGAAAGGATTAAAAATGAATTGAGACTAAATTAATCCTAAAGAATTGGTAGGTCAAAGAATAAAACATAAAAAACAATAGAAAATTTCATCAAAGAAAATTAGAACAATGAGACAACATACTAAAAACTGTTGGGAAGCAGCTAAAGCAGTCTGGAAGGGGAAATTTCTATATCTAACCACTTTCATCAACAAGAGAAATGAATTGGGCATACAACTAAAAAGACTTAGAAAACTAACAAAGATTTTAAACCCTCAACTAAACACCAAAATAGAAAGTCTGAGATTACCCAAACTGAAAGCCCCCAATCCACTGAACCGATATAGAAAATGAGAAGCTGACTTTGGGAAGAAAACAAAACAAAACATTGATAAACCATTAACTAGTCTGATTTTTAAAAGGGAAAGGAAAACAATCTTGCCAGCATAAAAAGTGAAAAAGGAAAAATCACAACAAATGATGAAGGAACAAAGGAAAGAATTAGAAACTATTTTCCAGATTATATGCCAACAAAATGGACAATTTAAGTGAATAAACAGCTACAAATATAAAATACCCAAATGAATAGAAGAAATGGAGAATTTCAACAACCCAATCTTTTATAAATTAATTGAACAAACCATAAAGTGAAGCCCCAAAGAAAAAACCTCCAGAACTAGATGGATTTACGAGTGAATTCTATCAAACATTCAAAGAACAAGTAATTCCAATATTGATCATCAAGTATTTATTAAATGTCTACTATGTGTTAGGCATTCAGCAGTGGGGGTGCTGTGCGTGGGTAACCTGCAGCCTCGAGGCTGAGGCCCTGAAGTACCGGCCCTTCGAATTCAAACTTTACAGAACAAATCCCCTTGATAAAGGATTTGTTCTTTAAAACTTGGACTCAGTCAGAAGGCTGCACCGGAGGACCTAGAAGGCCACAGGTTCCCCACCTCTGAGCTAGGCACTGGGGATGCAAGCACAAAAAATGAGACAATCCTCACTTGCAAGGAGCTGATACTCTAAGAGGAAACCACAAGTACATATCTTTATATAAATATAATATAAAGTGAATAAATATATACAAAATAAGTGAATACAAGGTAGCTTAGAATGGAGGGCACTAGCAATTAGAGGATCAGGAAAGGATTCATACAGAAGGTATACATCTTAAAGTTAGGAAGAAAGGAGCTGTATGACACAAAGGCAAAAAAAAAAGAATGCATTCCAGGGAAAGACATGGAAACAGGTGATGGAGTGTCAAGAGTGAGGAAGACAGAGAAGGCTAATCTGGCTGGATCACAGAATGCAGGTGGAGAAGTAATGTAGGAGAAGGCTAGAAAGATAGGTTGCATAGGGCTTTAAAAGTTAAACAGCCCAGTTTATACTTTATCATACAGGTAACAGCGGGCCAGTTGGTTGAGTTAGGGGAGGGTGTCACATGATCAGATTTGAGTTTAAGGAAAATTACTATGGTAGCAGTGAGAAGGATGGACTGGAGTGGGGAAACTTGAGGCAGGGAGATCAAAGAGGGGGCAGGGCTTTTGCAAGAATACAGATGATGGGGGGCAGCTAGGTGTAGCAGTGAGTAGAGCACCCGCCCTGAATTCAGGAGGACCTGAGTTCAAATCTGGCCTCAGACACATAACACTTACTAGCTGTGTGACCACAGGCAAGTCACTTAAGCCCAATTGCCTTAAATTAAAAAAAAAAAAAAAGAATATAGATGATGAGTGCCTGAACTAAGGTGGTAGCAGTGTGAATGAAGAAAAGTGATAAATGGAAGAGGTGTTATAAAAGTAGAAAAAGCAGGGTTTGGCAAGTGATTGGATAATGGGAGTGAGGGAGAATGAGGACTCAGGATAATGGTGAGACTATGAACCTGAGACACTGGAAAGATCGATGGTGGTGTCTTCAACAGAAATAAGGAAGTTTGGAAGAGAGGAGGGTTTGGAGGAAAAAATTATATGCTAGCTGTGTGGAAGATATTAGCAAATTTCATCTAGAGGGCGAAAAAAGTCAAGATGCTCAAGAGAAAATGAGGGGGGGGAGAAGGGGGTCCCAGTGCCCACAACTACTGGGGTACACTCACTATTCAACAAAAACTGCTGGACAAACTGGAAAACAGTCTGGCAGAAATCAGATTTAGACTGACACCTCACACCCTAAATCACCCTAACGGCCACATCATAAACAAACGAGAGGTGCAAGGAAGAAAATATTTTTCACTACTGTGGATAAGGAAAGAGTTCATGAGCAGAGGAGAGAATGAGAACAACAGGAAACATCAAACTGACAAATTTGATTACATAAGATGGAAAAGTTTTGGCACAAACGAAATCGATGGATTTAAAATTAGAAAGGAAACTGTTAAATGGGGGAATTTTTTGCCGTACGTCTCATATCATGTATCTATACATATCACATATACACATACATATTTCATACATATAAACTATATTCTATATACTATATATTGACAGAGGCACAGAGACAGAGACAGAGGGAGATATGAGTGTAACACAGCTTTGGGAATACACAGACCACCTAAGATGGAGGCACTCAGGTCTGTTCGAAATGCCAGCACCCGGCTTCTAGGAGAAGGCATTCGCCATTCTCTTACCACGTGAGCGGGAGGGGCCTCTTCCCATTGGTTAAGTAACCGGAAGTGCCTGTGTCTTGAACACTAGCAGCCGGGGACTGCCTCACCCGTATGCGCCACGCGCGTTCTCTCTCCCACAGCGCTCATGAGGTGATGGGCTGGACGGGCCTATCCACCCACGGCATAGGCACGTGACCCTCCCTTCTAGGCCCAAGACCATCCGTTTCAGGCCCCGTGACCGCCCCTTCCAGGCCCCATGACCATCCCTTCTAGGCCTCATGGTCCCAAAAGCCCGGCCTTGTTCTCTTTCATTCGTCCTTTTCAGTTCTAGGTGCAGGCAGTGGCTTCCCCAGAGCCATGTAATCTTGGAGGCCGGATTCCGGGCCAGATAGCCTTCCGCCAGCCCGGCAGGTAAGCCCAGAGAAGCCAGGGTGCCTGGACACAAAAGAGGGTGTGGGGGGGGGGTACTGGGACCTTGGTGGAACTGATATTATATGGGAACTTAATTAAGCTGAGAAACTAATTCCTCTCCCAAGAGACTAAAGTGGTATAAGGGGTCGATTATAGCCTCTAGGTATCGGGGAAACATGTTTGTACATTCTCACTGTAATCTCTAGCTGTTAAGTAGAACTGGGATGGAGAGAACCCCTAAATTTTGGGGCTTGAACTAGTGTCAGAGAGACTAGATACCCCCCAAACCCTCTTCAGGATACTGGAGAACCCTTAGAGGAGGGGTGGAATGTAATAAACCTGGAGGAGCCAAAGTAGTCACTATTACATAAGGAACTGATTCAGAGTTATAAGAATACGAGGTATTCCCCCATAGGTCAAAGGATGTGAACAGATAGTTTTCTAAGGAAGAAATCTAGGTTATCAGTAGCCATATGGGGGGGGGGGAATGCTCCAAATCACCAATAATTGGAGAAATGCAAATTTAAGAAACTTAGGTTCCACCTCACATCCATCAGATTGGCAGAGATGGCAAAAAAAAAAAAGGATGTTGGAGGAATTGAAGGAAAATAGGCACGCTGATGATCATTTGTGGAGATGGCAATGGGTCCAACATTTTTGGAAAGCAATTTGGAATCATGCCCACCTCTCCCCCCCCAATTGCTAAACTGTGCATACCCTTTGACCCAGCAATACTACAAGGTGGGTACCCTCAAAGAAAGAGGACAGGGACCTGTATGGTACAACATTGTTTATAGCAGTTCTTTTTGGAGTGGCAAAGAACTGGAAGCTAAGGGGAAATGGCTCAAAATGGTGGGTGGAATGCTATTGTGCCACAAGAAATGATGAAGTGGACAGTTTCAGAGGAACCTGGGAAGACTTGCCTAAACTGGTTCAGAGTGAAGGGACCCAAAGGGAGAACAGTTTCTATAGTGGCAACAACATTATAAAGACAAACAGTTTTAAAAGACTGAAAAACTTTGATCAAAGCAGTGACCATGAGGACCTGATGAGGCATGCTGCTCATCTCAAGGTGAAGTGGAAGATACACATTTTCAGATATAACCAATGTGGAATTGTGTTTTGCTTGATTATACATGTTTGTTACAAGGGCTTTGTTTTTTTTTTCCAAAGAGAGGGAGGGGGAATAGGGATAATTTTACTCCCCCACCCCCAAAAAAAAGAAAAGGGAAAAAAGGTTATTGGAGCATTTTTTTAATGCACAGAGGAAAATGGAAGGAAGGAATCACAAACAGGACAGCTTTGATACATATGTTGAATTTATTATATACATAGAAAAACAAGATATATGTAGTCAGTTCTACATTCCATCCACTTCTGTTATATATATATGGAAATATATGTTATATATATGGCAGCGTGCATTTTATTTGGTGTTTTTCAAGTTCAGAATAAAAAATAAAATTTGAAAGATCATGCAATTAAAATGAGAAGGAAAACAGTTAAGTGGAGGAAAGAAAATCTTTGCAGCAAGTTTATCGGATAAAGATCTGACAGCCAAGATAAATAAAGTACTAATTCAAGTACATGAGAAGTATATAAGTATAGAAATGGTGAAAGGACTTTTAACAGGCAAATCTTAAGAAAAAAAATAGAAGCTATCAACAAACGTGGGAAAATGCTCCAAATTACTAATCATTAGAGAAGTGCCTGTTTTGAAAACTCTGACATTCCACCTCAAACCTACCAGATGAGCAAAGATGACAAAAAAGGAAAATGACAGTTGTTGGAGGGCCTGAAAGAAAATGGGCACATTGGTCTACGGTTACTGGAGCTATCAATTGGAAAAATGATTTGGAACTATGCCCCAAAAGCCACTAAGCTGCACATACACTTTGATCCAGTGACACACCTGCTAGGCCTGTGCCATCGAAGAGAGAGAGATTCTGTATGTACAAAAATATTCATAGCAGTGATTTTGTTGCAGCAAAAGAGCTGGAAACAAAGAGGGTGGCTATCAGTTGGGGAACAGCTGAACAAATTATGATGTGTTGATTGTGACACAGTGTTACTGGGCTGTAAGAAATGAAGAAAGAGACTGTTTCAGAGAAACCCAGGAAGATTTATTCAGAGTAAAATGAGCAGTAGTAGGAGTTTAATTTATACAGTAACATCAACATGGCAAAGACAAACAACTTGGAAAGATTTTAGAACTCTGATCAGTGCAGTGACCAACAGAGATGATGGACCTAGGGAGCAGAGTAAGACCTACAGTGTTGGATGTCGCCAACATGGGAATTTGTTTTGCTTGACTATGCTTATTTGGAGGATTGTGTTTTTCTCTCCTTGTTGAGAGGAGTTTCGAAACAAAATAACAACCACCAGCATTTATTAAGGGCTTCCTATGTGCCAGGCACTGTGCTAAGTTCTAGAGATATAAAGGAAGAGCAAGTACAAGATGAGGAAGGTGTGGCTTCCTTTTGTTTTGTTTTTATAGAAGGAAGGCTTTAAATATCAGTCAACAGTATGGTATGATAGTCAGAAAAACTAGCATAATCTTACATAACATTAACAAGACTGTATTCAAGACTAGGGAGGTAAGAGTCCTAGCTGCTGCTCTTTTCAAATCAAATAAAACTATAGATGTAGAGCTAAAAGACTTTCGAGGCCGTCTAACTCCTGCCTTTTTACAGATGAGGAGGGAAACAGGCTTAGAGAGGGGACATGCCCCAAGGTTGCATGGCAAGTGAAAGAGATGGAATTTGAGACCTATTCTCCTAATTCCCATCTGTAGCCAGTACCACCAAACCCATGTTGCTTCTCTAGAGCAATATGTTCAGTTGGGGGTGGGGGGGGCAGTCACATTTCAGAAAGGACATTGATTAGCCTGAGTGTGAACAGCATGGTGTGGGGAGGCTTAAAGCCCTGCTTTTGTTTTCAGGTGAATCCAAAGCAGCATAGGGAGAGTTCATTTGGGGTTATTTTTGTACACAGAATGAATGAATTTTAAAATATACCACCCTATTAAATGAAATTAAATGGATTTATGTTATTCGCAGCAGAGCTGACAAGAGAAACACCATCTCTTTCTCTTCTCATTTGGTGGTTAATCATGGAACTGGAACAAGGGTAATTTTGCCTTGGAGGAGGCGGGGGAGGTTGTGCAGGGTGGGTCACTCCACAAAACATTGTTCCTGTCTGCATTGATGAAGTGCTGACACGAAAGAGCATACACTTGGGGATGAGGACTGGGGGTGTTCCTTCAGGGCTTGGACACAAAACTGCCAGGAGTGGGGGGCTCTCTTCGTTTTAATCTCTTCGACCTTCCCCCCTCCAGGCACACATGCACATGGTAAGGAAGATTCAAGCCTCTGTCTTTAATAAGCTCAGAAGACAGTAAATCTTTGTAATGAGAAAACTGCATCTGCTAGACATGACACACTGTATGTGGTCTGATAAATTACACGTGAAATTATCTTTTTGGTGTTCTTCAAGATAAATTTGTCATGCCCAATTTCCATGGTTAATTCAATTCAACTAGCCTTTATTAAGCATACCACCATTTGCTGGGCCTCAGTTTCCTGATCTATAAAATGAGGGAGTTGAGCTACACTGCCCTTAAGGACCTTTCCGACTTGAAATCTGTGAACCCAGTTAATCTTCCAGACTTTAAATATATATATATTTATAGTTATATATAATAAATGTATAATCTGTTCCTCCAACTGCCCCCTCCCTCTTGAACAAAAAAAAAAAAGCCTATTATCATAAGCATGCAGAGTCCAGCAAAACAGATACCCTTCTCTGGGAGACTGGAAGTGGAAGTTTTTCTCTGCATTTTAAGACTACTACCTCTCTGGCAGGAGGTAAGTGATGTGTTTCATCTTCAGTCCTCTGAACTAACAGTTAATCATGGCATTGATAAGAGTTCTCAAAGTCTTTCCAGGTTGTTCTCTACAGTGTTGCCTTTGTTGTACTGGTTCTGCTCACTTCACTCTTTATCAGTTCATAGAGTTCGGTCCAGTTTCCTTTAAAACTATCCATTTTGTCATATCTGGTATGGTAGTATTCCATCACATAATTTTTTCAGCCATTCCCCGATTGATGGGCACTGCCTCAATTTCTGGTTCTTTGTCACCCCAAAAGGAGCTGCTATAAATATTTTGGTACATAAGGGTCCTTTTCTTCAATCTCTGGAGTATAGGCCTAGTAGTGGTTTACTTGGGTCAAAGGGTAGGCATAGTTTAGGGATATTTTAGGCATGGTTCCAAATTGGTGCCACCGAGGTTCAAGGTTCTTAATGTATCTGTGTGTTGCAGACCCTTTGGCAGCAGTCTAATGAAGTCTATGGACCCCTTCTCAGAAAAATGTTTTTAAATCATCGAAGGAAATGGATAAATTTCAATTAGAGGCTAACAAAAATAAAGGTATGATTTTTGTTTTCCTCCTGTCCGATTTCATCAAGTCCCTGAAATATGTATATGAACCCCAGGTTAGGAACTCCTGCTCTATTCAGGCTGTGTCCTAGGAATTCCCCAAGATAAGATTTCTCTTTTTTGTTTTTGTTTTACCACCCCCAAAAAATCTGTCTTCAGAGTGGGCCTTGTTTTTGACCTGCTCCAGTTTGGGGCCAAGATGGAAAGGGAATTAAAGTTAGAATTTCCACCTGGGTACAGCCAGGGAAAGAAGAGGCCCACTCCTCAACTTTCCCCAGAGGTAACTGGCCACCTTCCTGAATAGTACATCCTTGAAATGCTGGATGGGTGCTATGAGAAAAGGACAAGGCCCCAAAGTGAGGTGCTCTCAGTAGCTCTGGCCATTGGCATCAGGAATAGGATGTGACAGCTAAGTAAGCTAATGAAATCATGGGCTTCCAAGAGTAAAGAGGAGATAGTCTTGGACTGACCACATCTGCAACATTGACTTTGACCCCAGATACCACCTCTTGGGAAGTCAGTGATAAGATGGAGAATGTCCAGAGGAAGACAACCAGGGTGGTAAAGGGTCTCAGGTCTGGTTAGTTGAAGGAACAGGTAGAGAGGGGAGTGACTAGCTCTTCATGTGTCTGAAGGGCACTTCTGTGAAAAAGGGATTAGGCTTAGCTTTGCCCTACAGGGTAGAAAGGGAGTCTCTAGTAGAAGCTACAAAGAAGCAAATTTAGGTAAGGCAGACTTCCTAATCATCCCCAGCCATTGGACACTGTCAAGTAGAGGCCAAATGATCACTTACTAGGTTCTTTCTCTGGTATAGGTTGGACAAGATGGCTGGCCTCCAAACTCTGAATTTTTGTGGTACTGTGAATTCCCAGGCCCAGCCCCAATTTTTTCCCTTCATTGAGGAGTCTGGCAAGTAGGACAGTCAGAAAGGGCAGTAGGAAGGGAAGCTGAAGAAGGGATGAAAGTCTGTGGCCTTCCCCTCGCTGAATAAAGGTCCACCCGTGCTTCACAGATTCAAGGTAACTACACCCCTAGGTTAGTCCTATCCAGCAGGAACTGGAAGATAGGTGAGGGTGAACAAGGAAGCATCCCCTAGGCCATTGCCTTTACCCCTCAGTTTACTAAGAGCAAATAGTGAGGTCCTGCTAGGGTCTCTTCTGGCCTCTGAACTTCACAAAAGAACCCCAGGAGGGATTCCCCTAAGGAGGAGAAACTCCCCCCTACCCCCACCCCAGTTCTGCAGGTAGAGAGGTGGTGATGGTTAACTTTAAACTAAGGCTGTTTACTTTTATTTTCACCCAACTGGATGTGAATTGAATGAAAAAGCATTTAAGTGCTTACAAATGCAAGCAAGCAAAACAGTTCCTGCCCTCTAGGAACTTAACTTTCTAAAGGAGGGAAGCTACACAAAAAAAGAAGCTTGGGAAGGGGGGGGGGAAGAGAAGGCCGCTTGGTGGCTTGACTTGGAAATGACCAGGAAGTGACTTTTAGGGCTAAATTAGGTGAAAGCCCTGGGTCTTTGGGCTGAATCCAGGTGGTTCCATTGGGAGGGGCTTAAAGCTGCTTGGTAATTGCTCTTAAAACAATAAAAAGAATTTAGAAGAAATTCCTTGCCCTTAGGTGAACCTTGATTGTAGACTAAGAATTAATTACTGGCACCTAGACATCTTATCACCCAGTTGAGTTAGCCATGGTTTGAGATTTAATAAACCTCCAGCTCTGATCTTTATAATCCGGTAAGGTAGGTGCTATTTTATTATCCCTTTTACAATGAAGAAACTGACTTTTAAGAGGTTAAGTGACTAGCTGAGGATCACACTGCCAGTAACTAGCAGGATTTCAGATCAGGCCTTCTTGAAAATCTCATTTATCTACTACAGACCCAAATCCTCTGGACCCAAACCAGTTTGGGTTGTAATGGAAAAATCTGCAAAAGGGAGATCGGGACAGTGGTGTGCCCTTATGGTGAGGAAAGACCAGCAGAAAGAGAGAGTGACTGAAGAGCTGAGCTGGTCCCTTCCAACATCCGTTTTTGTCATCTTTGCCATTCTGATGGTGTGGGAGGTAAGAACCTTAGAATTTTTAGTTTGCATTTCTCTGGTAATTGGTGATGTGAACAATTTTTAATATGGTGAGTGATAGCTGGAAACCTGTCTGCTCATGCTCCTTGGCCATTTATCAATTGAGGGATGCCTCTTATAAATTTGAATCAGTTCTTTGTATAGCTTGAAAATGAGACTCTGAGCAGAGAAACTTGCTACAAATATTTGGCCCCTAGACTTATCTGTTTCCTTTCTAATTTTAACTGCATCGGTTTTGTTTCTGCCAAAACTTTAATTTTATGTAATCTAAATTGTCCGTTTTATCTTCTGTGATCGTCTGTCTTTTGTTTTGTACTGAACTTCTTATTCCTCTAGCCATAGATCTGAAAGATAACTTCTTCCTTGGTGCACCAATTTGATTATATCACCCTCTGTGTCTATACCAGGTATTTGTTTGAAGCTTCTCTTTAAATAGTGACAAATGTCCATATCACTTTGAAGTCTGCTAAGCACTTTACATCCTGTATCTCATTTGATCCTCACAACAGCCTTATGAGATAGGTGCTACAGGTATTATTATCTCCATTTTACAGATGGAGCAACTGAGGCTCAGAGAGGTCAGTGACTTGGACTTGGTCACATAGCTAGAAAGTCTCAGGAAGGCCTCGATTCCAATCCCACGGCTTACTCCAGGTCCAGGTCACTTCACTGTACAACAATCCCACACTGCCTTCCCAGGGTGGAAGGGCTGGATTTCCACGTACAGATTATATGCATTATCACTCCAGGGCTGAGGAGGTCTGAGCAGGCCTACAAGAAGTGGATGGGCTTGGCGCATTGCTTTTAAGCTTGTGGGGATGCAGACTGACCCAATCTCCAGTCTGAAGACAAGATGAGTGCAAAGCTACATTCAGCTACATACAGTCACAGTCTTAAACTGGTTTGGCTCGGCCTTGGAAAGATCATTCTAACAGTTACCACTATCCCTTGCAGGGGCAAGGCAAACACAGGAATAAGAAAAAGGGCCTCTGGGTCCCTCCTCTTGAAAATCAGTACTCAACCTCAGGCTTGGCCTGGAATTTGGAGAAAAACCACTTTGGTGCTTTTCGACTTTGCCTCCTTTCTTCCGGCCTGGGAGGAAAAAGGGAGTAGCCTTGTAAAGGTAAACTCCTCCACTTCTACCCTTGATCCCATAGCCTCCTAGCTCTGGCTGTCTTTCTCATTTCCTGCATGTGTATCTCTGTGTCTGTCTCCCTAGCTAAAGGCTCCTTCCTTCCCCTGGCCAACAAAGAAGTTCAGGTCTTCCCAATCCTTAAAAAACCTGCTATCCTCTCAAGCTAATGTCCTATGCCTTTCCTCCCTTTTACTACCTAATTCTTAGAAAGGGTAGTCTCCATTCACTGCCTCTACCTCCTCAATTCAATTTAATTCAGCAGTTTATTTTAAAGCACCAGGAACTATGCTGGATGTGGGGAGATACAAAGACAAAAATGAAAACAGTCCCTGCCCTCAAGGAGCTTACATTCTACATTCTTTGTGAGCAAACTACGTGGAGATCAGTAAATGTAAAGTAGAAATGAATTGGGAGGAGGGAAGCACTGAACAACTGGGAAGATAACACTGGCCAGGCACTTGGGCTGGGGATTACCAAAGGTGAAGGTAAGGAACACATTCCAGATATGGGTGACAACCTGGGCAAAGGCAAGGAAGAAGGAAAGGCCTATTTGAGGAATAGCAAACAGTAAGGTTGGTCCAGAACAATGGAAAACCAGCGCACATGCTGTTGCTTTTAACTGCCCAGCAGAGGAGTTTGTGTTTTATCCTCAGGTTACTTACAAGGGGTCAGAAGCCATCTTTTGAAGCCACTGTTCTGTTGAAACTGCCCTCCCCAAGGTCCACTTTTGATTGGTAAATTGCCTGGCATTTGCTCAGTCTTCATCCTCTTTACCTTCTCTGTCATATTTCTATTGAGCAGCCTTTCCTCCTGGCCACTCTCGTCTCTTGGCCCTCTTCCTACCAATATGACCACTCCTCAGTCTCCTTCATGGACTCCTTGGCCTCTTCCAGTGGCGCCAGCCCTTACAGACATGGCCTTAACCCCAGGCTTCTCTTGGAAGTCCTCTACTCTGTATACGCTCTCCCTTGAAGATTTCCTCAAACCGAGAGCTCAGTTATTCACCTTTCTGCAGCTTTTTTCCCAAATTTACATATCGAGCTCTGATCACTCCCCTGACCTCTAGCTCTGAATTTCTTGCTCTGCTCTACATTCCATTGCAGACTTTATCTCTTATCTATTGATATAATCATGTGGGATCTTTTAAATATAATTAATCGTGCTAATTATTTTACTAACTCATTGCATTCCTGGAGGAAATCCAACTTGATCTTGGTAAATCAACCTGAATGTCTCATAGGCCTCTCAGAGGTAACCTGTCCAAAACTGAGCTCCATGTTTTACCTTCATTTACCCTGTCTTCCTCTACACACCAACCTCCAGTCATCCAAGATTGAGAACTCAAAATAATTTCCCCCCCTTCCTTCTCCTTCACTATGCTCCTTTGCCCACCCCACTCTACCTCCCCCTTCCCCCCATACTCATAATCAGTTGTCAGATCCTGCAATTCTACCTCCACAGCGTGCCTCAGAGCTATCCCTTGCTTTGTATCCATAGGGCCCACCACCCTAGCTTAGACCCTCACCACTGCTGACCTGAACCATTGGCAAAGCCTCCTAACTGGCCTTCCCACTTCCAGCCTCTCTCCTCCTCTGTTGCGTCTTTCATGCAGCTAGGAAAATAATCCTTACAGTGAAATTATCAAGACAAGGCAAGAACTGATTAGCTGCTCCACTTATGGTACAGAGAGGGTGCCAGAGTTTGCCATCACTACTGTATTATGCTTCCATGCCAAGCTTGTGATTGCTTTTCTGAACTCTCTTGTTCCTCCTCCCCTTTTCCAAGTGGTCTGCAGGCCCCCCACCCTTGTTCAGCCAGACCCTTACAAATAGCCTAACCAGCCTTCCTAAAGGAGTGGAAGAAATTTTAATTGACATTTTTAATTTTTACATCATTTTACTTTCCACCTATATCCCTTCTCCACCTCCTTCTTAAAACAAATAATTTTGTTAAAAGAGAAAAGAGGAAGAGAAAAAAATAAGCAAAACCTCTCAATACATCAAAAAAAAAAATCTGGTAATATATACAGTTTTCTCCATCCGTCAGAAAAGGAGTGGGAGGTAATGCAATCTCATAGTGTCATCTCCTTTGAGAAAGCTTTCCTATCTTAATTGTTCATTCTCTCTCCCTTCTCCTCAAATTGATGTGAGTATATGTAGATATTGTGTCTCTTCCCAAAGATGAATGTCATCTTCTTGAGGGTGGGAAGGGTTTCATTTTGGTACAGTGTTTAATGGATGCTTATTGATTGGGATGGGTTGAAGGCGGTTCTACCACTGCATTGCCCAAATGGGGTCACATGGCCTTTGAGCTGCCTGCCACTGGCCTTCATCTAGATTCTGGCTGCTCCCTGGCACTTTGCATGATGAGATTGGAATTTCAGATGCTGTAAGCAGCAAAAGGAGGAATCCTCAAGCAGCACCTGGAGATGGGTATGGCATGCAGTGTTGCCATTCACCAGGGATACTGGTACTGGAGAAAGAGAAAATTAGTAGAAAGGTCAGGGAATCTGAAGTTTAGTACCAGCTGTAACATAATGGCTGGGGTGTCTGGGGCAAAAACCCTTCTGTTCTCTGTGTCTGTTTCCTCTTCTGTCTGTCATATGAAAAGGGTTGATCGACATCTCTGGGGCCCCCAGTCCTCCTTGATCCTTTAATCATGCCCTCAGTGTATTTGCCTGACTAAAGTAATTTTCGTTTTTAACTGTTCTTCAGAACAAAATCCTGCAGTTGTGAATAACTCATTTCTGTGTGTGCATTTACGCTTTCCATGTGTACAAAACTCTGGCCTGGCACTGAGAAAGCCAGGGCAGGAGGTCTAGTCAACTTCCATCAGTCAGCTGTGGCCTGAAAAATGCTAGTCATTCTGCTCCTCTGTGGTAGCTCTCTTTCTAGGAGAGGACTGGGCTGTCCTGGGAAGAAGGGAGGATCTTATCCCTGAGATACTTCAAGAAAAGCTTCAGTTCAAATAAATAAGCTACTATGTACCAGGCACTATGTTAAATGGTGAGGCTACAAAGAAAAACCAAATAGTCCCTGTCCTTGATGAGCTTACATTCTATTTTTGGTTATATTTAAGTTTAGAGGGATCCTTTTACGTCTCTGCTTTTTAGAGTCTTTAATAGAAAAGAATGCTGCATTCCATTGGAGACTTTTCTTTATCTATTGGTATGACCCTGTGGTGAGGTTTTTTTTGTTGTTGTTTATATGATTAATTGTCCTAATTATTTTACTAACAGAAACCTCTTTGCATCCCTAGAGGAAATCCAACTCACTCATAGTGAATCATGGTCTATTGCTGTAATCTTGAGAGGCAGTATAACATATTGAACAAAATGCTTTCCTTGGAGTCAGAGAGGCCTGGGTTCATATCCTGCCTGATATATGCACTAGCCGCGTGACTGAGGAGATCGCTTAACTTCTCTGAGCCTCAGTTGCCTCATCTGTAAAACAGGGATACTAATTCCAATAGAACCTGCATCACGGGGTTGTGATGTTCAAATGAACTAATCTGCTTTGCAAATGTAAATGTTAGTTATTACTGTCAAGATAATTATAAGCTACAGAGAAGGCACTGTGTTGCTAGAGAAAGTTTTCTCACCTGGGAGTTTCCTGTACCAGTAAAACCCCAGCTCTGCTCCCTATCCCTGTCGCTACGATTATATTTTAAAATGTTTGCTTCAGTATTCATTAGTGAAATGGGTCTACAGTTTCTCCTTAGATCAAGCTGAAATGGGCCTCCCTACATCTCTAGAGCAGGGGTAGGGAACTTGCAGTGGCCTTCTAGGTCTTTGGGTGTGGCCTTTTGATTGAGTCCAAGTTTTACAGAACAAATCCTTTTATTAAGGGGATTTGTTCTGTGAAGTTTGGATTGAGTCAGAAGGCCACACTTGAGGACCTAGAGGGCCACATGTGGCCTGGAGGCTGCAGGTTCCTCACCCCTGGTTTAGAGGATCCCAGATCTCTGCTAGAATGGGTCTGGGACACCATCTAGTCCAGCCCCTTCATTTTCTAGATGAAGAAGCTGAGTCCCAGAGAGGTTAAGGGCCTTCTCAAAGTTGGCCAACTAGGAACGACCTAGATTTGAAGCCAGGTCGTCTGCCTTCAGAGCCAGTGCTTTATCCATTAGCCACTTCTTTCTGTGGCTTCCAGGGGTGCCCCCTGAGGCCAAGCAGAACAGTTCTCACTTCCTTCCCCTACAGGAAGGCCCTTCATACCCATGAAGACAGTTGATAAATGCCAGGACTAGAGCCCAGATTTGCTGATTCCAAGTCTAATGCCCTTGGGGTAGATGTGATAAACCAGAGAGGAAAGATGCAGCAGCTACAAGCACCAACAAGGCACCTTGGCAGCCACTGCATGAGTATGTTGTCACATGCCACCCAGGCTACCGGGGGCAGAGGAGTCAGAGAACCCCTGGCCCTTCCACCCACACATCCCCAAGTGAACCACAGCATGGGAAAGCACGCAGAGTGATTAGCTAAGCCATGCCACCGCCTCCCCCCCCCCCCAGCTCAGAGCCCATACATTGGCAGAGCCCTGGCGGAATTGCCCGTGCTCAGATTGCCTCCCCCAGTCTGGACTCTCTTGGACTCCTCTGACTTCTCTTCTCCCACCCTTTTCAATTGTCATTGGTGTGTTGTCTTCCTCTGTTAGATTGTAAGCTTCTTGAGGGCAGGGACTGTCTTTCATATTACTATCATCCCAAGTGGGCAGCTAGGCAGTTTGGAATCAGGAAGACTCATCTTCCTGAGTTCAGATCAGGCCTCTGACACTTAGTAGCTGTGTGACCCTGGGCAAGTGAACTTAGCCCTGTTTGTTCCTCATCTGTGAAATGAGCTGGAGAAGGCAATGGCGAACCATTCTAGTATCTTTGCCAAGAAAACCCCAAATGGGGTCACCAAGAGTCCACGCAACTGAAACAACTGAACAACAGCATTCGTCCTTAGTGCTTAGCCCAGTGCCTAGTACTTAGTAGGTGATTTATAAATGTTTCTTGACATTGGCCCTGAGTGGCCTGGAGAAGGTCTGCCTATAAGTTTGCATGTACCCTTCCAGCTCAGGATTTGATGCTCCAATGAAACCTGTGTTTGGCCTAGTCACTTTCTCTGTCAAAACAATCAACTTAATCCTAAAGGAGGGACTTGCCCGACATCAAGTAGTTGGCCCCCAAGTAGCTAAGCCAGGATTACTGGGGCTAGAGCAGCCAGCACCTCCCAGCTTCCAGCCAGGCTAGGCCCCTGGAGAAGATTCTCCCCAGGGCCGATAGGATTTCTCAGGAAAGACTTGGGAACGGAGCTTACAGGGAGCAGAAAGGTGGGATTGGGAGGAGAAGCATGCCTGTGTCCCCTACCTTGAGAAGCCCTTCATGGTGAACCTGCTCAACTTGATTTCTGCCAGACGATTCAGTTCAATTCAACCAACGTTTGTTAAGCTCCTGTTTGTACCAGGTGCTGTACTAGGGACAAACTGGAAAACAGACCCCTCCCTCCAGGAGTTTCTGTTCTAGGTTGAGAGACAAACAGTGAGTAAACTTTTATGAAGCACCTACTACGTGCCAGGTATTCAAGATGCAAAGAAAAGTAAAAGACAGTTCCTGCTCTTAAAGAACTCATAGACTAGTGGGGTGGTGAAAAAACCATACAAGCTATATACAAGATAAATTGGAAATAATCAACAGGAAGGGGAAGGGGAATTAAGAGGAATCAGGAATGGCTTCCTCCAGAAGGTGAGATTTTAACTGGACCTTGAAGGAAGCCAGGAGGCAGAGAGGAAAGGAGGGAGGAGGGGGTGGGCCAGCCATCAAGAATACTCTGAATCCTGAGATAGAATATCTTGTTTGAGGAACAGTAAGGAAGCTGATGTCACTAGTTCAGAGTATGTGTGGGGCTTGTGGGTGTGTGAACATTGGATCATGTGATGAGCTAGCTCACTGGTACCCTTGTGATGTCAGGCGAAATTGAGGAAGCGGGTCTCCCCCTCCCCCCCACACACACATTGGGTGGACCCCCTGTTGCATGGATAAGAATTGCATGGGATGGGCTGGTATGGATGGATACAAGCTCCAGCTATTGGTGGGAACATCTGAGTCAATGAGATTCCAGCTCCATTTGAGTGTTGAGTAATAAGGAGCCATGGAAGGTTCTTGAACAGGTGAGTGACATGGTTGGACCTATGCTTCCAGAATAGCACTTCAGCAACCATATGAAAGATGGATCACAGGGGAGGCAGTTCTGTTCTTTTGGTAAGAGAATCCCCAAGAACCTAGAACTAAGAACCCAAGAACTCAAACTAAGACAGCACTGAGGCAGTAAGCTGGAGACCTGGGTTAGGTGAGTCCCAGCTTGGCTGCATAACTTAAATGCAACTCCCTTCCCCTCTAGGTTGCTAGAAAATGAGGAGGTTAGATTACATGGCCTCTAAGGTCCCTTCTGGCTCTGACCTGCTAGAATTCTATATTTGTAGTTATAGATTTTGGCCCCATTTTTACTGCTTATATGACCTTGGACTAGTCCCTTCCCTCTTTGTGGCTTCATTTTCCTCCTTCTGTAAAATGAGGGGGTTGGACTGGACATGATCTGCTCCAAGGCCGGTCATTGCCAGTTCTGACATTTGGTGGGTCTAGAAGGATCCGCATGTGGCCAGTAGCAGCCAGGTGAAGGACTCTTCACCTTACCTGCTGGGAGAGTCCGGACTGTTAAGGGTTTCCAATAAGGGTTCTCATCCCCATCCCTTGGCTTCCATCACTGAGGCTGCCTGTCTTGGTCTACACCATAGGAAAGTTTCTCACCATCAGAACGAGTGTTGCACACTACATACCAACGGCTTACTATATGAGGATTCTGTAACATGAAAAAACATTCTTCCACTTCTCCAGGGCCTGCCATCTTAGGGTAGAGTCTCACTGGGCAGAACCAGGATGCTCCAGAGACCAGCGGGGAGAGGCCAGGGCCATTGCTAGGACTTCTACTGGAGAAAAGCATCCCAGGGGTCACACAAATGTGGCCAAAATGATGAGAAAAATTGATGGGGGAGGAGGAAAGGCTGGGGCAAAAAGGGGAAAACCAAGAGGGAGGGATTTGGCAGTAGAGGAAGAACTCTAACTTGGAGTCAGCAAGACCTGAGTTCAAGTCCTGCCCACTCTTTAAGTCACACTTATCTGAAGCAGACAGGCTTGTGTAAACACACTTGGCTTAGAAGTACATTGAACTTAACAGGGAAACAAGCAGAAATGAGGGAGAGTTGTCCCTTGGGTGTCAGGACATGAGCAAAAAAAATTTTTTTTAAGTTAAAAAATAGAATTAAAAGGGAGAAAAACAAAAGCAAACGAGTGAGATCTAAGGGCCATCAATTGGGGAATGGTTGAACAAATTCTATAGGAATGTAATGTAATATTATCGCACCATAAGGAAAGATGATTTTAGAGAATGCTGGGTTGTGTGAAGTGATTCGAGCAGAACCAGGGGAACACTGAACAAAGACAAGTCATATTTGTTCAACAAGGTTGGGTTTTTTCCCCATCTTGATTTTCTTAGTTGGGGGAAGGGCTTGGGAGGGAAGCGAGGCTAGTAACAATGATACCCAAATGTGTCACTGCTAGGCCCCATTGTTCCAAATGAATAGAATCGAATGTAGTTCAGAAGGAATCACAGACAAGCAGCATAGTTTTGAAAGTAACATCTTAAGATTTATTATATATTTTTTCAAAAAAGTGAGTGGTATGAAATGGAATTTTAGTTTCATGTGCAACCCTGTCGTGTTCTTCAGTGTGGAAATGCTCATCTGTTTGGGGTTTAAGTTTAGAAGTCTTAGATGCTATATAAATAATAACTAACATTTTGTTAACTAATAAATAGTAACATAGTATTAATAAATATTTCAAAATGCTGTACATTGTAAAGGTAGCATCCTATCTGTGGCAGGCATTTCTGAAGGAATGCCTGGGACCACAAGTGGTAAGTGACAAGACAGTATCTTTCTCCCAAACCCAACTCTCTTTGAACTTGCCTAATTACTGCTGCAGAGTCCCACCATCCTCCCAATTGTCCAAGCTCACACACCTCGATATCATTTTCCACACTCTCTTTCCACCCTCCCAAATCTGCTGCCTGTGGAGTCTACCTTCACCACATTTTTCTCCTTGGACTTGCACCACTCTGGTGCAGGCCTCAAAATCACCTTACGCCTGGACTATTGCAATAGCCTTCTGGTCTTCTGTCCAACCTCCATTTAGCTGTCAGTCTTCCTAAAGTGCAGATTTGAGATTTTCTCTCTCTGTCTCTCACTCTCACTGACTGCCCCCCCCCTTCCTGGAATACTGTCTCACCTCATTTCTGCCTCTTCCAAATCTCAGCTAAAATTAAGGAGGGTTTCCTGATACCGTTCAATGCCTTGCTTTTGTTGCTGGGCTCTAATTTCTCCTAGTTTCTACTTAGTTTCATATTGTCTTCCCACACTATGCTGTCAGCTCCCTGAGAGCATGGGCTGCCTCTTGTCTTACAGGTTTGTAGGTGCTTAATAATTGCTTATTGACAATCTAAAATGTCAAACAGTGTGATGGGAAGAACTCTAGAGTTGTGATTATGTGATCGGGGCTCAAAATACCTCCTTGGCCATTTACTAGGCTTATTAGTTATTTGCTCTCTTAAAGCCTCAGTTTTCCTATCAATAAAATGAATGAGTAGAGCTAAGAACTAATAAGTTACCTAACTCCTCTGGGCCTCCATTTCCTCATCTGTAAATAACTAAGACTAAGTTGCCTGACTTCCCAGGGCCTCAAGTTGTAAAATAAGAATTATGACC